ATATATCCAATTCAGCCATTCCAACAGTGGATAACATAACCTCTTACCACAGGTGAACAGAAAAGAACTACATTTTTGACATTCTCCTCCTGCAAAGAAGCCTGCCCTGCCTGAACACACTACTTCACTTCCAGGCTCTAGCAGGTAGAAGAGCTCTGCTTAGCAGAAATATTGTTTTTTAACTTTTTAGTGAATTTTTTTTAAGCTTTAATTTATTAGCTTTCCTTATTCCCCAAGAGAGTAGAAGGGGAATATTGAATCTTAGGTCATGTATACATTGGGTATTTTCCTGAGTTGCTAGCCACCAGAATAGCACCACCAGTATGAATCCGTAGTGTAAGCAAAGGAAGCCACAACATGCCACAGTGGCACTCCTCTGGGGTGCCAGTGAAAATCACAACTTCCCATCTCTACATAAGAGGTTTTCACCAGTGCAGTTACATGCACGGCTGGCCAGTGAGTGCTGGAAACAGAATATGCTCCACATGGCCAAGACCTTAGATGTTTGCCTGACTCAGTAGTCAGACGCTCAACCTCCCCTGCCTCTTCCTTTGAAACAAAGGAAAAACTTCAGTTCAGGTTTCAGCCTTGGGACATCACCATCCAGGTTGTACAAAGATCTTGACAAAGTCCTCTAATAAAATGAGGGAGGAGGAGGGCCTGGTATCCAAATATAAGACACATGCAGAAGAGGAATTAACCTTTTTGAGAGGGAAAAAAACAAACTTTGCCTTGTATATAATAAGAGCCTTTAAATCCATGACAGCATCCACAGATTATTTTTAAAATGCAGTGCACAGTTTTAGATATGAGTTCAGAGAGACAGCAAATCTCATCTCAAAACCAGAACAGAAAATGAGTGATCTGTTGACAGTTTAAAAAGTAAGTTGTAATGGCTGAACCTGTGACCAAGCTATAATGAGAAATTCTTCTCCAGTTTATTTAACTAACCTCAAAAACATCTATTGTAGATTTGGCTGGGATTTAACAGTCCATTCTCTCTTCCCCTTCCCCCACCTCCAAGTGATACAAACACAAATGTTAATATTTAAAGCTCCCCAGGCCGCTACTTTAAAACCAAACATCTCTTACAAAGCTGAATTGAACCATCTGGTAGAAGTCACTGACATAGCAGTAAGTGCTGCCTCTTGAAAACCTGATTCAGCAAAGTGGAGGGAAGGCTGAAGTTAGTGGGGGGATTTGTGTCAACTGAGGAGGCCTCCAAAGCTGAAATTGCAGCATGGATCAGCTGGGAATTCATCCCCCTTGCTTTTCTTCATGGCAGGATGAAATCTCCATTCCCCCAAATTGACGTAAGTAAGAAAACAGATTCTTTATACTGTCCTAGAACTTTAAAATTCCCGTTGTGCAAGGTGACAAGGTAGATGAGATAATATCTTTCATTGGACCAACTTTGTTGGACTGCCTGTTGTGCAGGATAGCTGCCAATGAACAACATTGAGTTCATGTAGAAAGGACTCTCCTTTCTTCCAGGACAGATATGTTAGTTGCAAAACATTTTTTTTAAGGCTTGTTAGGTATTTAATTTCATGCTGATAAGCACATTGTAAATCAGCAGGAGCTGCCAAAAAACAGGCCACTTAGTTGAGAGCCTAAATATAGATTTCAGAGCCTAATTTTAGACCCCTCAAGTATGAACATTTTGGCCTAAAATATTCAACTACATTAATTTAGTTAAATGTCATGGCATGGTTTATAATATAGCAATAATTACTACTCTGCAGCCTGCCACATAACCCACATGTTGCGTGGTCTGCCTGATATAAGTTACATTTGTTAGGGGTCTATACTTTTTTTTTTCTTTTTGTGAAATAATATGGCTTTTCCAAAATTGCGTAATCGGTTTCTCTTTTCATATACTCTATATACCACATCTATTCCCTGTTAATCAGTGTTGTTCATGGGCTTTTGTGGACTTAATTCTGTATGCTAAGGGAGTGGAATGTTTGCTGGCAAGAAATGCTGCTATTCCTTTAAGAACGACACATTAATCTTCCCTTCAGTGAATAGTCAGTCTAAAATCCAGTGCTTTACAAGTTTCAGACCAGGCTATTTATCAAGAGGAGACTGTTCATTTTTCAGAAGGGCAACATGTATGCAAAGATGCATTTGTGACAGTACGGGGAGTGGATAGCAAAATATAACTTAATAGCTGCTAGCTTTTTCTTTTTTAAGTAAGCTAATACAAGTTTAAAACATTGAACTTTGACTTTTATATTGCTCTCTAGATTCATGCTGCATTGAGGCACTGTCACAAGTAATGCAGTCAATTGTACTTTGTAATATATCAGATTCTATGTAATACCCTCTACATAGGTGTAAATAGTTTATATAAATTATGCCATCTTTTTCGTCCTACTTCAGTAACCACAAGCTGAGCTGTTTTTTTTTTCTACGTTAATAGTTCAGTGGGAGCTAATGGGTGTCCTGTCTTATGAAAACCAGGACACTTATTTAGTTGGCTGAATATGGATTTAGAAGCCAAACTTTAAACTCCTTTTAAAAAGAATCTTGGCCTCTGCTGCTTTCTTTAGCCTGAACTTCCTCTTCCTCTATCCCTTAACTGTTCTGTATGTCAGTTGGTTGCTACCCTCTGTCCCACTGGTGGCTGTGATTCACTGGGACTGTATGCAGAGTTTATAAAGCAAGCTCAAAGGTAATTAACACATAAAACAATAGGGAGAAAGTTTATTATTTGGATTACTGTAGCGGCTAGGAGTCCTATTCGTGGACCATGAACCCACTGTGCTAGGTGCTGTACAGACACACCCTGCACCCAAAGAGCTTACAGTCTAAGAATGAGACAAGACAACATATGGATGCAGACATACTGGATAGTACAAGGAAACAATCAAACAATATTGACAGGCAGTGGTCTCGGTATACCAACAGCCTAATTGTGTAGGCACCATGGGGTTTGAAGGAGGATAATGTTAGCTTTGCTAATTTGGGGGAGGGGGTGGAAGGGGGGGCTCCTTCCAAACATAAGGGGCAGCATGGGAGAAAGCAAAGCTGCTTGTTCAAGAATTTAACAAGTGGGTGATGGAGGCTGGCACTCTGGGCCAGTCACAGGTGACATCTCAGTAGTGAATGAGAGATGATAGGGAGGGGTGGGGATAGGCCATGAAGGGCCTTGAAAGTGATGACAAGTAGCTTGTGTTTGATGCAATAGAGAAGAGGGGTCAGTGGAGTGATGCAAAGGAGTCAAAGCGACAGGCTAGGAAAATGATCATTGCAGCAACTTTTGTAATGGATATAAGCAGGGCATGGTTGCATTTGTCATTTGGATAGGGAAGGCTGTATTTTAGAGATGTTACGCAGACAGAATCAACAAGATTTAGACATAGTCTGGAAGTGAGGACCCAGAGAGAGGTCCTAGTCAAAGATGACACCCAGGTTACTGGCCTGAGTGACAGGCAAGATGGTAGTGTTTTCTGTTGTGTTAGAGGAAAGAGGAAGCAGAGAAGAACTAGGGGGGATAATTAAGAGCTCGGTTTTAGCCATGTGGAGCTTGAGCTGACCACTAGACATCCATATGGAGATGTCAGAGGAATAGGCCAAGATTTTATTTTGGACAGGACGAGAGAGAGAAAGATCTGTGAGTTGTCAGTATAGAGAAAATAGTTGAATTTGTGTTTATGGATAAGATCACCAAGAGATAATGGCAGAGGGAGAAGAGAAAGGGAACCCAGGACAGAGCCCTGCGGAATCACACAATGTTGGAGGAGGGACAGTCCTCCCCAGGACACACTGAATGAGTGATTAGAGAGGTAGGAGAACTAGAAAAGAACAAAATCACAGAAACCAAGGGAGGATGAGATTTCAAGATGATGACCATGGATGACTGTGTCAGAGGTGGCAGACAAGTTAAGGAGGATGAGGATGGAGAACTGGTTCTGAGATTTGGCTAGGAAGAGGTCATTGGAGACTTTGGCTAAAGTGATTTCAGTGGAGTGCAAGGGGTGGAGGATGGATTGGAGAGAGTCTAGGATGGAATTAGAGGAGAACTACTCCAAGCAGTGATTGTAAACAGCACATTCAATGAGCTTAGAGATGAAAAGGAGATGGGGTTGTAGTTAGAGAAGCAAATGGGGTCAAGGAGTGTTTTTTTTCAGATGAGAGAAATTAAACTGTGCTTGTATTGAGTGGGAAAAGCTAGAGGAGAGGGGGAGGTTATGGAGAACAGTAAGGGAGGAGATGAGAGTGGGTGCGAGGGAGATCAGGGGATGGGATTGGATGGGGTCACTGGGAATAGGGAGCAATCAGGAAGGAGCAGGTAGAGCTGGTGGGAATACTAGAGGGATGATGTTAACAAGGATGGGGGAAAGAGGAGGAGGAGGGCGGATGCTATGTTGCAGAAGAGGGGTGTGGTGAGAGCTATGGGTGAGTGGCAGATGGATAAAGTCCCCCCAACCCCCGAAAATCAATTTAGCATTGTCTGTAATGTTTTACTACTTAACTATAAAGCACAGAGATCCTGGGTATGAATAGCATGTTATGAACAAGAAGCTATTTCTACCCATTATATGTTACTGATGTACAAATTGTGCAGGGGACCCTATCCCCCTCAACTAATTTTAAGGCAAATTAATTTGTGAATACCAAAGGGATAAACAAACAACTACTGTGCATTAGTCTCCACCCAAAAAAATTTTTATAATGTTCCCTTCTATTTGTCTAAGTATATTTTGCATTTCCTTTCTCTGTAGTTAATTGTGTGTATATATATATATATGTATGCATATCTTTTTCCTTACATTGTCAGTACTGTGTTGAGAATTTAAGTATGTGGCCGTTTTATACATTATCATTTTTTGCTGGCTGGGTTGAGGCTGACGAACAATGTTGCGGAAAGAATAGACTGCCTACTTTCACTTTTGTTCTCAGTTGTGCATTTTTACTTCCCTTACAGAGCTGAAGCAATGCCCCATTGGCCCTCTAAGCCTGTCATTTCTGAAATATTTTTTGTTTTATTTCAGGTTACCATTGGTCAACTCTATTCAACCCAGAAACTTGTTATTGAGAGTCCAGAAAACACAGAGATAATCTGATCATCTAGCACCGTTGGACCATCCTCAGCATTCTGTAGTGCTGCACATCCAACATAGCGTTTGAAAAACTTATCTGTCTAGTAAAAGATAAAGCTTTTGAGATGCTCAGTTTTGGCAACCAAAACAGTCTAGAATTTCTCTTCTCATGGTTCATGCACTAAAATGTACTGCTAAGCCTACAATAGCGTGTAATGTATTCCTAATATCTGCGTTGCTAGTATTTCATGTGTAATGAGACTGTTTCTTGGCCTTATTTGACAATAAAATTCCATGAACCGAATACTTGTAATGAGATATTTTCTTCTCCCAGTGATCTTGCTAACTTACCTGGCTTATAAAGGATACCAATTATGTTTCAACCAATGATACAATTGTTTAAAATTACTTTTTACATTGAGCCCCAGTTAATATAGAAATACGCAGCCTACAGTGAATAAACTAAATAGCTGAATTTGTATGGACCTGGTGTGGGTAAATTCGTGTTAAATAATTTATTCATTAAAGCCATGTGAAATTTGACAGAGGCCTTTAAGTACAACAAAGATATTTTGTTATATCCTGGACCTCAACACCTACAAATATCAAAGGTTAGACTGTGTGTTTTCATTTAAAACCACTCTCATCTCACTTCTCAGTTAATAGCGCTCAGTAATAGAATTTTAGCCTCATGTTACTGAGACTTCAGAACTTTTAAAATAAAATTTCATCACTGTTTCTTATTTTAATATACTAAACTGCAACTGGCAATATAAAGGAACAAAGTATATTTTGCTATACAAAAATTTTGTATATTACCCTCATTACAGATACTTGGAAAGTTAGATAATTGAGTGTGAATGGTGAGGTTGGTATATTTAATTCAGAATTCATACAAATATTTTCTAATTTCTGTTGAGTGTGCAAGTTTCTACACGCTGGCTCAGTCTCTCATGCCTGTTTTGCAGGGACTATCTCTAGAGGCTGAAGGCAGTTCAGTCTTGATGCCCATTCAGTAGTAGATCCAGTGAAACTCCCAAGGTGGTTGCTTATTGCATTCTATTCACCTTCACTTACTTACAGTAATGCCACAAAAAAAGTAATTTTTAAAAACATCCATTTGTTAAACTGAATAAATATAGCCAATAGCAAACAGACATTTCTAAAGCTTTCTGTAATTATTTATGGGCCTCATTCAATGCACACATTGAGTAGCATATTGAAAGAAGTGGGGTTTCTTAAGAGATTCTCCTAAGCCAACAACTCAGTAGCTTCACCTTAAGATTCCCCTTTCTTGCAATGTTCCTGAGCTCTACAAGAGAGAAAATTCCTGAACTGCTTTAAAATGCCCTTTTTTTTTTTTAAATTTATTTGAAAAGTAAATTACACCTGCTAAGACAGCGTGCTAAACAAGAATGGAATCTTTTTTTAAATCAAGTTTTATTCACTTCAGTGCTCTGAGTTCGCTATTATGTTTTCCACTAGAATATACAGAAAAATTACTCAGTATAAAGCTTCAGCACAATGTACAGCGAGAGCTTTATATGAAGTAGACAGAACTTTAAACCAGGACCGTGCCTGTTACCTTTAAAGAACCTGCATTTGTGGAGGCAAAGGGGCATACTTTCTATTTCTTTTGTAAACGAAAGAGAGTATCAAACTGAAATGACAGAACTAAGCAATGAACGTATGTAAGTGATTAGTTTAGAAGTACTAATTCCCAAAACTTATTTATAAAATTTTGTAGAATTATTTGTAGAATTACCTGTATTTTAATATAGCATTCTGTTAACTATGCAAAATAAAGTGTCACTACTGTATTTAAGACTACAAACCTGCCTTAATACTGCTTTTCACATGGAAAGCAGATACTGTAGTATTTCTGCATTTGTTAGATACATAAATAAAGCAAATAGATCGCTTTGCTACTGCATTAATATATCATTTTATTAAAATAGATTTTTTTAAACTAGGCAGAATGCCATGGACTACAGTTTAAAAACAAGGCACTAACACTTTAAAATCCTAAAATACACCTAACCAAGCTAATTAGAACACTAGCATTGATGGTAAAAGGACAAGGGGGGAAAGATTTAAGTGTCACTAAAGCATTTAATAGCATTTGCATTGCTAATAAAAATTATACAAGTGTCTTCTGTGAGACACAGTATAGATACATGTATAATGTTACTACAACCCTTCTAAGGGTATGTCTATACTGCAATTAAACCCGCAGATGGACCATGCCAGCTGAATTGGGGTCACGGGGCTCGTGCTGAGGGTCTTTTTTAATTGCATTGTATACCTTCTGGCTTGCTGGAGCCTGGGCCCAGGACACTGCGAGATGGGAGGGTCCCAGAGCTTGGGCTGCAGCCCAAACTTCTACACTGCAATTAAACAGCACCTTACCCCAAACCCTGTAAGCCCAAGTCAGCTGACACGGGCCAGCCGCCAGTGTCTAACTGCAGTATAGACATACCGTATGTGTGTCATTATCAGTCAAATTTTCCTTAGCCTGCAAAGGGGCACTTGTAGTTTTAAAGATGCATATTGTGCATATGATATGCCAGAGCGGAGGCCTCTGTGCATAGAAATGTGTAATACAAAGTAGGTTGAGCAGGCTCATTTTATTTTTTCATTTGAGGAATCAGTTACATAAGACTTTAAGAAGTTATCCATGGGCTTCTTATACAGCATGGCTACATTGCTTAGTTTCTAAGCTTACCTAAGGAGACTGTTCAGTCCTTAAGCACTAACCAACTTCAGTTATACAAAAGATATAAAATTACTTTATTTAATAAGGTGCAAAGTTAGAAAATGAAATAATCTAGTACAATGATTACTTGTAAATTGCAACACAATTAGTGCATTTAAGGATGCTCCTTGGAGCAGGTGTATACAACAAGAATGTTTCCCCCACTGATGCACAGTCTGTGTATCTTCTATTAATATTAATGATAGTAGCATGTGCAAATCTATTACACGTGACTGGAACAAGAGACCCATTAATATTCTCTGTTAAATGCATAATGATTAGTATTGCATTTGTTGAGATAACATATCCCCTGTATATAAAAACTATTGTCAAATACTGTATGAAAGTAATCCTATCAACTATGGAATGAAAATGTACTACTGTACTTCCCACTGCTCATTTAAAAATACCCTTTTTTGATATTCTATTTTCACTGGTTATCAATGAAATTGTTTACTGGATTTTTGTCTGAGCAATGGAAACAATATAAATATGTGAACATTGTCGGTAAAAGGGTTCCCAGTGATTTAATTTCATGTCCCCCTATTCCAAAAGGGATATTTGTTTCTGATTTACAGCAGAAGAAAATGTTAAGAACTCTTACTAATTCTGTAATAATAATTCTTAAAATTACTTAGTAAGATACTAATTTTTGTAGTATGACACTGAAAGATCATTTGCTTCACACATGTACCTTCAGCTGTCCCTGATCTCAGCAACCTTTGACTTTAGTGATTTGGAAATGATATGGCTCAGTTATCATGCTCCAAAATTTGGCTGTTTACATATATCAAAGGTCAAATAAGAGCTTTTAATAGAAAAATGCAAACAGTATTCTGAAAGAGAGCAGAAGACAACCTCTGAACTGCCCTAACATGAATAATTGTCTAAAGGACAGGCAGTTCTACAACCCTGTTGACATCTGATTAGATAGTCCTACTACATTTAGAGGATTATTTTAAAAGGCCTGGAAATACCAGCGGTATGGCCATGGTGAGGTGAAGCAGACCCGAGGTTACATACAAACGTTTTTTCCTGCTGATCACATATACTGTTCTTGTTTAAACATGCCATCAACATAGGGATGTTAAACTGACTCTGCTCTAGCAAAACTGTACCAACTATTTCTAGCCTAGTGCGTGTCATTAACAACATTACTTGTGCCTCCTAACATGTAAGACACACAGGAGAGCATGTTTTTGTGGAAGCCTAGAAGCACCAGCTCCACAGCACACTTCCCGCCACACGCCCATACCTCCTTAACACTTCGCAGAAGCACCTCCACTAAACTTCTGGCAAGGATCTCCATTTCTCCACAGGTATGTAGGACAGAACTGAGAGGGAGTGGCCAGCTAACCTCTGAATGTTCCCCTGCTCACTCCATAGATATCTAGGATGAAATCCTGGCCTCATTTAAATCAGTGGCAAAATGCCCATTGACTGAAATGGTGCAGGATTTCACTCTTAGGGTGAATGTTAATGCTACTGGAAGCAGCATTAGCACTTGTGAGCTCCACCTAGGGGGTGCTACTGTGCAGCCACCGGAAAGGAAGAGGGGAGGGAAGAACCATGCTGCCTGGAGCAGACAGCTAGCAGGGCAGCTGAATCTCCACAGATCTTGGGAGAGCCATTAATTTAGGGCCGCAACCCCACTGGCCATTCCAGTGGAAGAAAAGAATTCTTTCACCCAATTAGAACATGTTGCTTTTTTCCCCTCTACATATTTAAAAAAAAAAAGGGGGGTGGGGGTGGGGGGAGAGAGGGGAGAATATGGGCCAGAGTTGCTCAATCTGAGGGCAAAAGGAGAAATAAATCCACTTCCTCCTTAAAATGAACATATTCCACTAATCTAAAGAAAAGATTTGTAACTCTCAAAATTGTACAGTGCTTAGATATCACAGTGCTAAATTATGCATTCAAACAATTACTGTTCTACATCCAGAATAAGAGAACTATGAAGACCGGTGAGGAATTTACAAGACTGCTTTTGAAAAAAAGTACATAAAATATTTATACCAGCCTTTGGAAATTCTTCTCACTGAGAACAAGCTTTTTTTTTTTTTTTTTTTTTTTTTTAAACAGACAAGTATTAAAGGTCTTTCATTATCGTGCTGAAGGGCAAGCAAATACATTCTGTGCTTGGACAGGTGAATTTTCATGACAATTCTGTATTGCCATAGACCTGCATTGGGGAGCAATTTTCAAATAGACCAAACAGGTAATCAAATTTTAACTAAGAATTCTGGTCCAGATCATCTCCACTACCTTCATTCAATACACTGGTCCAGCTCCAGGTCCCACTGACGTAAATAGGAGCAGAATTCAGCCTTAAGAGTTCTGATTGAAAGCCCAGGCCTTTCAAAATTGATACTTTAAAGGCAGCAAGTGTAATTTACATGCAACTTTGTAGACCTTGACAGCACTAAACTATGTTTAACTTCACACTATCTTTCTGAAATTCCTACTCTTCTATCAACCCATCTTGATCATGTACAGCTATTAGAGAGAAGTTTCCTATTGCGTGTATTTAAATATACAAAGAAAGAACA